CTAAAGACAACCTTGTGGGACTCCCTCCACCTGAAAAAAAAGTCTGAGGAAAGAGCCGATGACAGACACGAATGTGTCTTTCAGATAAGAAAGCAGCAAGATTACCGCGATGGCCTAAGGAATGGGCTTGGGCTAAGATGTTATACCCCCAAGTGGTGTCATATGCCTTCTCAAGATCAAAAATGACTGCTAGAACGGAGTGTATATTAGCATAGGCATTTCACACACACTTTTCTGAGTGGAGCAAGGGGCCCAAAGAAGAGCAGCCCTTGCAAAAGCCGTATTGGCGAGGAGAAAGACTATGGAGTTCAATTACCGTATCAGACATCTGTTCACCAATCGTTCCATCACCTTACAGACTACACTGGTCAGAGGAGTGGGAAGATAGCGAGAGGTATCAAGCCCCGAGGTGCCTGGTTTGCGATACAGTAGTACATTCTCAGATTTCCATTGTTGAGAGAGAACCCTTCGCATCCAAACAAGACTGAAAAGACGCAAAAGGACTGTAAAGGCCGTAGAATGCAGATGCTGTAGCATACGGATATATCATCAGGCCCAGCTGCCAATGACCGGCAAGTGGAAAGCTTGGACTAGCTCTAAGAGAGTAAAAGGTATATTATACGACTATTCCATTTGAAGAGAAATCCAATGGTGATTGCTCCTTGGCAGACTCAGAAGCAAGAAACTAGGGACAGAGGTGAAGCCCTTGGAAAACATGGAGAAGATAGTTCACTATTTCCCTGGCAACCTCAAGAGGTTCCGTAACGCTAACACCAGCAACCCGCGAGTTGGGTCTGGAGCGTACTTGCCACGCAACTTCTGTACCCTCATCCAAATCGCACACAGGGAAAGCCGAGGTAACAGAAGAAACTTAAGTCTTGCCAACTTGTGCGTTTAGCATTGCTTATGACGAGGTGAGCGACTGCCCTTACTCGCTGAAAATCCAAAAGACGATCTGTCGTCCGATTATATCAATAATGGCCCCATTCAGCACGCTTAAAAGGCACTGCACAGGCACAAGAGATCACAAAGTCACGCATGTCTGAGAATGCCTGCCTGAGGTTCGAGGAATAGAACGTGACACTGCACTCTAAACTAAGGTCGAAAACTGGGACGAAGAAGAGTTCTCACAAAGCAGTATGATTAGAATAAGTCCCAATTCGCTCGTCCAGATTGCCAACGGGGGATACGAAGCGGTCGGTAATACGTAAAATAGAAAAGTGATCACTGTCGTGCAAATTTGGGAGAACACAAGTGTAATCAAGGGTAACTAAAGAGGAACAGATAGAAACATCAATGCAAGAAAAACCAAGCAAGTTGAAATAGGTGTGAGCACCCGTATTTAAAACGAAGATGAGGAGTGAGAAGAGTCTCCAACTGATCACCACGAGAGTCACAGTGGGACCCTCCCCAAAGATGATGAGTGTTAGAAATCACTTAAGATGGGCGGCAGCAAAGAAGAGATCAACACAATATCCGAGATACAGAATGCACGGGAAGGGGAGGGAACAAACTGTATACCACCTGTGCAAATATATATGGGCTGCAGCGTAATGCAGCTGAGAACGAACAAAGAATGCGCAAGAAGCGCATTCATTAAGAGTTACACCAGGAAAGGGATCAGAAAATGCAGTGGGATGGATAACTGCTGAACGAACCATAGGCTCTTATAACGAGACACATTGGGTAAAACCGGGAGAGCAACACTGATTTTATTATAATCATGGGGAAGCGCTAAATCCGTAGGATTATTCATCGCTTAGGGGGTGGAAGGCATTTAGGCTCAATTCAGGGAACCGGAGGACAGATCCAATCTCCTAGATCAAGAGCCCCTCACCAGCGTCAAGGAACCTTCTTTGAGGGGAGTAACACTTTGAACTCTCCCCGATTACCCCTGAGGCCACGAATATTCTAGTGCAAGTCATTATTCACAAAGACAAGCATGCTATCAATGAGATGCGATAAAATCTATAGGCTAGTATGGTCTGAAGTCAACGTGTGGAGGCAACGGACAGTGTGTGAGCAAGGAGGAATCAGAATGCTGTGAAGGAAAAGATTGATTAGAGGGCTGTTTAAAATAAGGGGCATAAGGAGGTGCACAGTGTCCATCGAGGGTTTAGTCTCCGCAATGTAGTTGGAGATAACATCAAGTGTTTCAGAGGAGAAGGAAGATGCCGATACCACGACTTCACACACGTGAGGCGGCAAGTAAAGATCGGAGAGACTATGGAGGGGAGTATGAACCTGGAGACGTGCCGGCGGGGACAGAAGAGTCCTGCGGTGGAACAGGAGAGGAAGGAGGCTGGAAGGGGACTGGGGAAGAAGTTTGGGGGGAACAGGAAAGAGGGGACCACACGACAGGGAGGTGAACCTCCCCCTTCATGAGAGTTAGAAAGGGGGAGAGAACTAGGCACCGAGGCCGAAAAGGACAACTGTTGGGGAATTTTCAGACACTGAAGGAATGCTCAGATACTTGGGCTTAGGAGAGCTTCAACTTCACAGGTGATAGGTGCAAAGAAGGTGCAGGCATGCGAGACCTCAAACTGAGAAACTAGCAGGCGGGAAGATGAAAAACAGAGGCAGGAAGAGGCAAGGTGGGAGTTTCTGAAGGTTAAACCGCATAAGAATTAGAGACGGGGGCGACTCCAGAAGACATGGCACAAGAGAACCTGGTAGGCGGGGGAATGTCAAGGTTCGAGGTCTCCTAGCCACTAGAGAATGAACACTAGGAAGATTCCCTTCAACACGGAGTGGAGAGAGAGCCATAGCATAGGGCCTTTGCTCTCCTTAAAAAAGTGGATTTCTCGTTCATTAAGGTAGACTTGACATTGGCAGGAAAAAGGATAAGGTTCATTGCAATTAAAGTGGGGGGGGGGAGAAGACTGAAAGATGTGTCAGCACAATCCACAGCACCGCAGATAGGATACTCTGCCCATAGATCTGCAGTATTTAGCGAGGTGTCCAAAGCACCAGCAATTTCAACACTGGGTGTAGGGACCACTTTACGGACCCCCCCTAGGCAATGTCCTGTGATATAAACGGAGGATGGGAGTTCACAACAGTCAAAGGTTAAGCAGACAATATTACTGGGAAAGCCCCTCCTCCCGCAAGCAGGAAGGACACGTGTATCCATTGAGAATCTGCAGAGCCTGAAGGGCTAATTGCTCCATAATACTGTCGCCGCAAGACAAATCACTGTACATTATGTGGTAAAACCACCGTACCACTTCAATAATGTAGAGGAGAGTGCTTGTGAACTGATAGGACAGTTATCATTGGAAGTAGGCAAAGATCATGAGCTTGTTCTGCCTTCTGAACTGTAACAATGCACACTGCTTCCAAGAGTAGGAAAGGAAACGTGTTGCAAGAGCTTTACCAATACTATGGTCTGAAAGATAATTGGAGATTTGTTAGGAAAAGAATTTGGTCCATTCTGTACTTGGTGCATAAAGGGAGTGGATGTCACGGACATTTCTGGGTTGAACGACCAGACATCAAACTATCGTCAGCAAATAGTCTAGAACGTTTATGTGTAGTTCTGCGGGCGGCCCGACCCGAGGTAGGTGCGCGATCCAAAAACGTCGCCCTGTATTCGGGGAAGCCAGATGCATAGTTAAAGGCGTACAAGAGGCATTACATTGACTAGAAGGTACAGGGGTATGGGAGAAGTCTGGCCTATTGAACGAAGACTCCATGGTACTTCTTTATTTTAAGGAAAAAAAAAGAAATGGATAGCGGGAGAGAGTCGCTAGATGGCATGAAAGGGCCACAAGTTCCCCCTCTCATCCAGGAGTACCTCGAGACCGCCAGCAGTGGAGATGCAGCGTAGAACACGTGCCATGCCCTACTCTTCATGCCAGTAACCCAGTGCTCTGGGATAGCAACCTCACATCTAGCCATCTCGGCGGATAAGAGGGAGGGTGGTTGGAAATCCCCCCCAAAGCATATCTCCTTAGGTTGCCACCTTCCAGAACTGACAGGGAGCCTCTAGAGATGCGCTGTAACCTCCAGGACACCCCACCCCACCTCACTTCCCGAAAATCCGGGAGGTGAGCTGGGTAACTCCAGATCTAGATTCCACGGCAAACTACACCACTCCCGAGGGACCCCACAGAGCGTGATGAAACCCAGCACACTTAGCCCTTCTTAGAAACCGTGATCTCAGAGGCTACAAATAGGACAGGGAAAAGGAAAGGAGGAAAGGGAGAGAGAGAAAAAAAAAGGTGATGGGGGAGGGTAATCAGGTTCGGTCTGAAGGAGAGTAATTCTTCAGACCTCTCCACCACGCCAAGGAACCCCCTCCCCCTTGAAGAGGAAGGAAAAGACAATTTCACTTCCTTGGATCAATTGTCCCTTATCTGCATTGAAGCAAAAATATTGCAGTGACGTAAAAAAATATTTCTAGAGTAAAAGCTCGTAAATGATAGTAACTATTGTATTTATGTTTTAAGTTAGATACACGAGAGTTTAGAAGCTTAGCAGAGGAGGCTGTCACCAGTTTTTTATAGATGAAATATGGGAATTGTTTATGTAACATTATGCATAGGGACAGCCCCACGAGTATTAGGTTACATACAGTACAGCAGCGGTGAAAACGAAGTTTTTTTGTACGAGGGGTAATATGACCCTGTCGGTCAGGCCACAAATCCTAGCCGAAGATAAAATGATAATCATGGTATTTTTCTGCACATTGAAATAGTTCACTAGACTGCAGTTTTTTTTTTCCATCTTTCTGAAAAACTCGGGTGGATGTCTAATAGAAGTTACTACTGCCAGTGAAACGCGATTGTTTCCTCAAAGCACATCACTTAATAGATGCTAATGAGAAGTTTTTCTGGAGGCTACAGCAACAAGCACTCAGTATCAGAGGATGATTCTTAAAACAAGAACTAAGTCTTTGAGAAACAGGGTGTTGCAGCATAGTACATGTGAAGGTTATGGGTTCTTACAACCCTCAGGTTTTGAAGGAGCTCCCCTCATGGTAAGAAAACTTTGAAAAATGAAGTTAAACAAAATAAGGGAAGCTTTATTGAATGAAAAAATCTTGAAGAATTGAACATAAATCTGTTTTAACTGGAAAAAAAAATTGCTGAAGAAAATTCAAATTATCATGCCTAATATGTACAAGAGGATCAGAGTCTGCCGATGTTATGGCGAGTTGCACAGGAATAATTAGTGTAGCGGGACGGTGGAGATGACTTAATGAGGCCCAGGTGGTCGTGACTACTGTGAAGTCCAGTATCAGACGATATAATACTTATGAAGGTGTACAAACAGCGTAGGTAACAGCTATCTGTGGGCCGTAGTAATTAACTAGCAACAGGAACAGTCAAGGACAAGGGCAGTTCCTCAGTATGTTGCCGAGATATAAAATTTGTCTTCATGGTATAGAAAAACTACTTCAAATACGGCTGTTTACTTGCCCAGAAGTGGTGTAAAAGCAGTTACTCGTTATGATGCAGAAGTATAGATCCGAAGGTGAAGGAACAACTCCCAAGATTACCGATTCCTCCATTTCGGACCTCATATTAGACCAACACCGCTCGTCTCGCATCTGGTGGGTGACCTTAATCAGGCGAAGCTGAGGAGGAAATGAAAATGACATTAATAACCAGACATGGAGTCATTTACATGATAGGCTGCAAGCCTTTTAAAGAAATGGTGATGACTAATTATTACCAAAGTCAGGACAAAAGTAAAAATTCTTGTCTATTGAATTAAGAAAGCAAAACTAAATATTAAATATTCAAGAGCGGAACTCTGCTTACAGACTTAACGAGAGCAGGAAGCCAAGTGACGCTACTCAGTCAGCGTGCGTCACTTGTTGCCCTCACCCGGTGGATGAGGGGGGGGGGGAAGCTAACTGCTCACATACACCTTCCTGAACAGTCACACTGCCAGTCATACTTCCTCCACCAGTAATTCACTCTTCCACTCTTATTTAATGAACTTTTTCCCCTCACACTCCAGCTTATGATATCAAAGTTCTAGTTTTGGAACTTTGATAAAAGCCATAGACTTATATTCCTCTTCATAACATCTCACAGAGGAAATAATATCACTATATTTGGAAGATTTTGTTTTTTATATTTCATTTAAAACATTTCACAATACAAGTAGGTATAAAGTATAATAAAATGACCACTAAATGGCTATAGGTAAAACTCCCCAATTACACTCCCTCCACCGAAAATAATCACACCAAGCTTAATAACAATATCACCCAACACACACCTCACAACATTTACGCTAGACCCGCAATACATTGTCTGCATCGCTCTTGGGCCGTGTAGACCCCCTTGCCTGACGCTCCTCGGTAACCTGACAGCAGTGGTACGAGGTGTTGTGCATTCGCTGCCTGGATGAGGTAGAGTGCGGTCGTGCTTTGCACCCCTCTACTGTTTTCCCAGACGAGCTACTCAGTCAACAACATGGCGCCAGGTGTGCGCAGGAGAGTGAATACTGTGGGCATTGAACTCATTAGTGGGGCTTTAACGCCTACTTCAGTCGATGTGTTATTGCCCAAAATTATAAGAGAGACATACGGCATCAGAGACCAGGATTTATATGGAGTGGCACTGAACGGTGTATATAGAATTTTTGTGAAAGTGCTAACTGCTCAAGTATACGAGGCTTTGGTTGATCGTTACCAAGATGTCAGCATTAACGTAACACCGGCAGTGAGGGTCAAGTTGACGGATGGATCACGACATTATTCGTGGGTTAAGCTCCGCAACGTGCCTTTTGAGGCTGATGAGGTAGATATTCGAAATGTATTCGAACGTTATGGAACTGTACATCTGGCCCAACCTGGCAAATGGGTAAAAGGAGCTTACACAGGATTTCCTGAGGGTTCTTTTAATCTCAAGATGACGCTAAGGCATCCTATACCTCGTATGTATATCTCGAAGAGTTTAGAACCCAGGTAATGGTAGCATATGCGGGGCAGAGACGTACGTGCCGACTGTGTGGCGAATATGACCATGTGGCGGCAGACTGTGGCAAGCGGAGTATGGCTCCTGGGCCGGCAAGGGGCGGAGCACCTGCGCATGAGCACCCGATGCCTAAGGAAGAACGGAGGCAAGGAGGAGGGCGTGGTCGCATGTGGAGTGAAGAGGTAGTGGCTCCTCCTGTGGAATCGGAAGAAGGGGTGATCCATGAATCACCTGGCCCATCAACAGTGGCTCCTGGGCCGGCAAGGGGCGGATACCTGCGCATGGCACCCCATGCCTAAGGAAGAACGGGTGCAAGGAGGAGGGCGGGTCGCATGTGGAGTGAAGAGGTGGTGGCTCCCCCTGTGGAATCGGAAGAATGGTGATCCATGAAAACACCTGGCCCATCAACAGTACATTTTTCAAGTGAGGAGGTGCAGGAGGGCGCAGCAGTGAAGGCTATTGAGGAGGAGTTGGAGACGGTGATACAGGCTATGTTACAGTCTACGGAGGTGGAGAGTTACAGCGAACAAGAACCTGGGATCATGGCAGAAGGTGTGTGCGGGGGAAGGGGAGGATCAGGTTGCACCTGTGGTGGACAGTGCGAGTGCCATGGAAGGACATGGAGGCGGATTAAGGGTGGTAGAGTGGAAGTCCATTGTGGGTGGCTCCCAGGACTCAGATATGGAAACTGAGGGAGCTACAAGGAAATGGGCACAAAAAAAAAAAACGAAAAAAAAAAAAAAAAAAACGGCAGCAGCGTCAGATTCGCACGATGTTTTGGACGCCGGACGCAAAGGCCGGGGAAAAAAAGGACATGGGGTTATGGTACCCAGAGTGACTCTGCGAGAGGGCCACAACAGAAGGGGGATGGGTATGGTTGGAACGGAGGGGTGGAGTCTGTGGCAAAGGCACAGTTCCAGGGGAACGGTCTGAAGGGAAGAATCTTGACATGCGGCGGGGGGAAGGAAACCTTAAATGGCCTCAGGTGTGTAACAATAAATTATTAATGGTCTGTGTGATGGTGCTACTAAACGGGAGTGCTCAGGTGTTTTTGAATAGGTACAAGGTTTGACGTAGCTTTTGTGCAGTGAGATACAATTTTAGCTTGGTCGTGAATTAGTGGCCTGGGGAACAGGCTTAGTGTTGCCGTCTGTCTCTGGAGGCGGGTTTTAAAAGGAGGAAGTGGGGTGTGTTTGATCAGGGAGCGAGCCCGTTTTGTATTGACAGAGGGAAAGACGAGGGGGGAGGGGGAGAGTGTATACGTGTGGAAGGATGGTGATGGGAGAGAGAGTGGCGTTTGTGTTGTGTTGCCCCAGTCCGAAAGATGACGTGAAAGTGAAGATGGTTTTTGTGCAGGAGGAGCTCGTGTATACATAGCACATTACGTCTGTGGCGTTTGTGGGGGGGAGGATGGGATTGGAATTGTGTAATTAAGAGGACGACGGGGAACCCAGAGGAGCGAGGGATATTTTCCTCAGGCTTGGGGGGCCTGCTTAGAGATCTTCAGTTACGTGATGCTTTCGGGGGAGGTCTGTGGGAGGTGGAACATACGTTTATAAGAAGGGGATATGCGGCTCGTTTGGACAGGTTATATTTATCTCAGAGGGTTTTGGTAGAGTCTTTTAAAACTATTGAGATGGTGTCTTCCGATCATAGGGCGGTATTAGTGGAGGTGGGATGGGATGCTTTGGCTCGTAGGCAGGGAAGTTATTGGAAACTGAACACGATGGTTTTGGGGGATAGGGAGGGAGTGGAAGCGTTTGCAATATTTTGGGAACAGCTCTGTGCGACAGAAGGACTGAGGAAGATGTGGTAGGATGGTGGGATAGTGTGGCTAAGTTAAGAATACGTCAATTTTATGTGAGGGAGGGCAAACGCATTAATCAATTGCGGTATGGTTTGTCAAATTATTTAGAATCTAGATTACGGGATTGTTACGAGGGGGGGGCGGTGGCCGGGGTGTACCCGGTGGAGGATATACACATGTTGAAGGACAGGATACGGGATTTGCAAGAAGAACGTTTTGCAGCCGTACGGGTACAGGCGGGGTTGGACGAAGTACTCTGGGGCGACAAGCCATCAGCTTGTGTGCTGCGAGGACAGAAGGTACGACAGCGAACGACTACAATACCGGGTTTGCAAGTCATATCTTCTGTGGGGGGTTTTAGAGAGGGTCAGGTATTAAGGGACACCAAGGGGATGAGTGCATATGCAGATAGATGGTTTGAGGAATACGGGAAAAGTAGTGGGGTGGATGGCGAGGTTCTTGGGAAGGTATGTGAGTATGTGCCGTGCAAACTGGGGAGGAGTGATCGGGAGGCACTGGGTGGGGTCATTGAGGAGGGGGAAATATGGAGAGCCCTTATGGACATGAGGAAGGGTAAGGCACCGGGATCGATGGTTTACCAAGCGAATTTTATGTACAGCACTGGGGTCTGCTTAGGGGTTTCCTAGTAAGGTTAATGAATGCCATGAAAGACGGAGGTAAGATGGGAGAATCTCAGGCAACGGCGGTGGTGGTGTTGGTCCCAAAGGGTAAACAGCAGAGTACCCTTCGGGATTACCGAGCCATTTCGTTGCTTTGTGCTGATTATAAATTATTTGCGAAAATTCTTGGGAATCGGCTTAAATGTGTTGTGGGGAGGGTCGTGTTTGAGTCTCAGTTTGGTTACCTGGTAGGTCAATGGCGAGGGCCACGGGATTATCAAGGGGTTCCTGGAGGACATGGAAAGGGGAAGAGGGGCGTTGGTGGCGTTGGATTGGCAAGGGGCTTATGATAGGGTGGAAAGAAAGGCTTTGAGGGATATTCTCCTACGACAGGGGTTTGGCGAAGAAATAGTGGGGTGGGTGGATACGTTGTACTCAAACGCGAAGGTAAGGGTGCAAATCAATGGGTGTGTGGGGGGGGGAGTCAACATGGAGCGGGGTCTTCGGCAGGGATGTCCATTTATCACAAATATTGTTTGCATGTGTTCAGGATCCCTTTTATAGGATGGTGGAGGATCGTCTAAGGACGGGGGGGAGGGATGGTGAGCTGAAGCCGTGGCCTGGTTTGGTGGGCTATGTTGATGATACAACTATTTTGGTAAGTGAGGAGACACGGTTAGGACTTTTGGGGGAAGTTGTACACACTTTTGGGAGAGCTACTGGGATGAAGGTAAATCTGGAAAAGTCAATGATCATGGGGCTGGGAGAGTGGGCAGAGAGATTAGATTGGGGATGTGATGTTGTGCAGCGGAGGACCGGGAGTCTGAAAATCTGCGGTGTCATGTATGAGGCTGACCTGAGTGCTGCAAGGGTTAGCAATTCGAATAGGATGGTGGAACAGGTGCAGCGACGGTTGGGAATGCTGCGACCTCACCATTTAA